AATTTATATTAGAAAAAGTCATTATTCTCCATACAAAATGCAACTTGGTTTGAATTTATTTTTTTATTAAGCAGATGTTACTGCTTCTTCCAACTCCTTTATCCTTTGGATTTTTCTGTAAGTTTGGGCTACTCTGGGGAGTTCTGCAGTACAATTAAGACATTATTCTGGCTAGACCTTTTCTTAATTTGGGGGTTACTTCTACAATCAAGGGGAGTTATTTCCATTGCAGAGTTGGCAGAATGTTTTGTATGTGTGTTCTTCCATCATTACCCTGACTGTAGCTTCTCAAACTGTGAGGAGAAAGTATTCAGGGTATATGTGGGTTTAAAATATAGTACTTTTAACTCTCAAAATTGATAATGATCATTCACTTTGGATACTCCAAAATCTTAAATTTAAAACAATGCTAATAACTAAGACTCTTGGTTTTTCATTAAAAATTAAAAGTAATCAGTGAATGAAGTTATTGTTCATAGAAAAACACTTAAGGATTTAGAAGGGTTGTTGTTATTATTATTATTATTATTATTATTATTATTATTATTATTACTTTGCCACAAACCTCTGCTGTATTATGTGTTTTTTGGCTGTTTTTCCAAATAGGTCATTCAGGGACAAATTTGTTTACCATATGAAACTCAAAAGTTATTTTTTTCCTTGTGTCTCAAAGGGTTGGATTTCATGTTTAATTTGAGTTTATCTCAAGTAGATATGTAGTGAGTTTATTGCTTTTCATTCCAAATAATTAAACACTAACTACATTAGTAAGTGTTGTTAAGATGCTTTAGGAAAAGTATTTTCAAACTGGTTGAAATTATTTTTTTCCTTTCATTGAAGGGTTTATTAACTAGGTCAGTGATTATTAAACTTTCTGTGTACAAGATTAGTTTTCTTTTTAAAAAAATTTTTTATGTTTATTTTTGAGAGGGGGGGGAGAGAGAGAGAGAGAGCGAGAACGTGAGTGGGGGAGGGGCAGAGAGAGAGAGAGGGAGGAGGACACAGAATTCGATGCAGGCTCCAGGCTCTGAGCTGTCAGCACAGAGCCCAACGTGGGGCTTGAACTCATGAACAATGAAATCATGACCTGTGCTGCAGTTGGACACTTAACTGACTGAGCCACCCAGGCACTCCTAGTTTTCTTTTTAAAAGCAGGTTTATTAAGGATAATTCATAGTAGTGTACAGTTCTGTGGGATTTGACAAATGCTTACAGTTGTGTAACATTACCATAATCAAGACATTGAACATTTCTATCACCCTACAAAAGTTCATCTTCCTTTGTAATGGACCTTTCTGATCACACCCAGCCCTGGTAGTCACTAACAAGGTTTTAGTCTCCGTAGTTTTGCTTTTTCCAGAATATTAGAGAAAAGGAATTGTATGGTATGTAGACTTTTGATTCTATAGCATAATGTATTTGAAATTCATCAATGTTGTGTTTATCAGTCATAGTGTCTTTTATTTTTTTTTGCTGACGAGTGTCTGTTTTATTGCTGACTGTGTATGTAGCACACGTTATTCATCCACTCACCAGTTGAAGGACTTTGGGGTTCTTTCTAGTGTTTGGCAATTATAAGTAAAGGCACTGTAAATATTTGCAAATAGATTTTTTCGTATGGGTTTTCATTTCTCTTGGGTTAATACCTAGAAGTGAGGGTATTAGATCACACTGAAAGTATATGTTTAGGGTATCTGTGTGTCCCAGTAGGTTATGCATTTGCTTTCGGCTCAGGTCATGATCTTACAGTTCATAGGTTTGGGCCCTGCATTGGGCTGTGCTGACAGCTCAGAGCCTGGAGCCTGCTTTGAATACTGTGTCTCCCTCTCTGTCTGGGCATCCCCACTGACACTGTTTCTCTCTCAAAAATAAACATTAAAAAAAAATTAAAGAAAAAAAAAGAAAGTGTATGTTTAACTTCATAAGAAGCTACCAAAATGTTTTCCAAAGTGGCTGTGTGACTTTTGTATTCCTTTTAATTTTTTTAAATTTTTATTTAAATTTTAGTTAACATACAGTGCAATATTGGTTTCAGGAGTAGAATTCAGTGATTCATCACTTAAAAACAATGCCCAGTGCTCAACACAATAAGCACTCATCACCCATCTCCCTCCATCAACCCTCAGTTGATTCTCTGTCATTGAGTCTTTTGTGGTTTGTTTCCCTCTCTCCTCTTTTTCCCCCCTTCCTATGTGTTCATCTGTTTTGTTTCTTAATTCCACATATGAGTGGGGCACCTGGATGGCTTAGTCAGTTAAGCGCTGACTCTTGATTTCTGCTCAGGTCATGATCTCATTGTCATGGGGTCATGAGATCAAGTCCTGCGTCGGACTCCACACTGAGCATGGAACCTGCTTAAGACTCTGTCTCTCCCTCTTCCTCTGCTCAGCCCCTGCTCCTGCTTTCTGTCTCTAAATAAATAAATAAATAAATAGATAGATAGATAGATAGATAGATAGATAAATTCCACATATGAGAGAAATCATATGGTATTTGTCTTTCTCCAACTTACTTCGCTTAGTGTAATACGTTCTATCTCCTCCATGTCGTAAGTGGCAAGATTTCATTCTTTTTCTTTTTTTAAAAAAGGTTTATTTTGAGAGTGTGAGTGGGGGAGGGGCAGAGAGAGAAGAGAGAAGGAGAGAGAGAATTCCAGTCTCTGTGCTAGTGCGGAGCCTGATGTGTGAGATTTCACCTGAGGTGAAATCAAGAGTTAGATGCTTAACTGACTGAGCTACCCAGGCCCAAGATTTCATTCTTTTTGTTTAATATCCCCTGTGTGTGTGTGCGTGTGTGTGTGTTACATACACACACACACCACATCTTTACCCATTCATCAGTAGATGGACATTTGGGCTCTTTCCATAGTGTGGCTATTGTTGATAATTCTCCTGTAAACATTGGGGTGCATGTAACCCTTTGAATCTGTATTTTTGTATCCTTTGTGTAAATACTTAGTAGTGCAATTGCTGGATGGTAGGGTAGTTATATTTTTAGTTTTTTGAGGAACTTCCATACCGTTCTCCAGAGTGGCTGCACCAGTTTGCATTCCCACCAACAGTGCAAGAGGGGATACCCTTTTCTCTACATCTGCACCAACACCTGTTGTTTCTTGTATTGTGACTTTTGCATTCCTACTAGCAATATATGAGAGTTTACCACATCCTTGACATTAATATTGTCAGATTTTTTTGTTCAGCAGTTTTAATAGGTATGTAATGGTATTTCATTATGGTTTTAACTTGCATTTTCCTAAGGACAAATGATGTTGAGGATCTTTTCATGTGCTTATTTTTCATTTTTATAATGTCTTTGATGCAGTATCTATTATTCATTTTTTATTGGGGTACTTGTTTTCTCATTAATGAGTTTTAAGATTTATTTATGTATGCTGGATATGGGTCCTTATCAAATAACTGTTCTGCAAATATTTTTTCCTAGTTTGTGGCTTTTCTCGTTTTGTAAACATTTTGAGGAGAAGTTTTTCATTTTAATGAAGTCCGTTTATCCATTTTTTTTTTCTTTTATGGATCTTGCTTTGCCTACCTCAAGGATACAAAGATAATCTCTTTTGTATTCTTCTTAAAGTTTTATGGTTTTAGGTTTTACATTTAGGTCTGTGATCCATTTTGAGTTATTTTTTATATATTGTACCAGGTATGGTTTGAGATCTGTTTTTTGTATATGAATTCCAAGTGTTCAAAAAAGACTAATCTTTGTCTGTTGATTTGCCCTTGTACCTCTGTGCTAGATATTTTGAGTAAATATGTTTGTAAATCACTTAAATAATTTCAAAAAAAAAGTAATATAGTAGTTTTATAATCACAGAGCTTTTGTATTTGGGGAGTTATCATTACTGAACCTACTAGTTTTAAAAATTTGGAATGTTCGTCATACAGCTATAAATTTCACAGGTCAGTGGATTCTTTGGTATAGTATGTAATCACTTAGTAAATTTTAAACACTTTCGGATATAATTGAAGGTGGGAATACTCCAACAGTTTCTAAGTGTCCCTTGTCTCAAGCTATGTCTTCTACAAACCAGGCATCAATGATAATTAAAAGATCCATACTTTCATATTTTAATTCACTTGAGTCTGTTCTAAATAAGTTATTCACTTTATTCAATTAAAGCTGCTCTGTTTACAAGCAAAGCAATTTCATCTTTCATAAACTTACATTTATAATTAATAGAATATGGCAATATGGTATATCTGGATATTATTACCATTTGCATTTTTCTCAGAAGTTCTTTTAAATTTTTTTTTTAATTTTTTTTTTTAACGTTTATTTATTTTTGAGACAGAAAGAGACAGAGCATGAATGGGGGAGGGGCAGAGAGAGAGGGAGGCACAGAATCGGAAGCAGCCTCCAGGCTCTGAGCCATCAGCCCAGAGCCCGACGTGGGGCTCAAACTCGCGGACCATGAGATCGTGACCTGAGCTGAAGTCGGACACTTAACCGACTGAGCCACCCAGGCGCCCCACAGAAGTTCTTAAAGAATTAATAAAAGAGTTCTTATTGTTAACAAGTTAGGGAAAAAAATAATGGATTTTACTCTGTTAACACTGGGGTGTTGGATTCCTATAGTCTCAGGCCACACCTCATCACAATCTAAAGCAATAATAGGGGTAAGGAAATTGGCTCTCTGTGCACTTCTCTTGGTTGTGAAGGTTAGCATCAGTAGAAATAGCCAATATTTTTGGCCTATTAACCCTAAAAATTTAATATCTAAATTTTTGCAGCCCTTAGTTCCTTCTCTTGTGTGCAGTTCCAGTGGGTTCTGCTACCACAAAGATTTCCTCTGGCCTCTCTGGTTCTCAAAAACTCTTGAGTTAGCCTTCCTTTTCATTTCTCGGTTCAAATATAAAGGTTATCAGTTTGGAACTTGTTGACATTCACATACGTGGCATTTTGCCTTTCAAATGGAACTTTAAGAATCACCTCAGTTCTAGTTTGATTTGAAATCTGACTAAAGCTTTGGTTTTGTCTTTTTTTAGGTTTGGTGTGGTGGACTTTCTTTGAATACTGGGATGCAGGTTCCAAGTGCTGTGAGAACGCTTCAGAAAAGTGAAAATGGAATGACGGGTTCAGCTAGCAGCCTAAACAATATTACTCAGTAATGCTTACTCAGAATATGTTTCACCCCCTTTGGGTGGCCTTTTCTGTGCAGTTACTAATCACAGAAATTTACAAGTGGTGGAAATCAGGTTTGCTACCTTTTGCTTTAAGGCCTGGGATGTGTTAGCATTAAGCATCTAGTACCAAGTACTCACGGGAACCTACTGTGCAGTAGCATCAAGCAAGCAGATTCTGAGCAAGAAACTGATGTTTCGAAGAGCAAATGGGAAGAAAGGCAGTGTTTAAATAGTTACATAGAAACTCATTTTTGTGTTTCTTGGATTACTTTGGCTCTCCTAAAATGTTTAGTTAGTATGTAGTCCTAGGACCTGAGAGGAAAGCATTTAAATCTTGTCTTCTTTCCCCTGTACTTTATCTTGTCACTACCTATTATTAGGTTCTTACACTGAAGCTTTAAAAAAATATATAGTCTTTTAAGTTTGTCTAAAAATTGAAATCATTGGTTGGGGATGCTAGAAATGTTTTCTTAATTGTTGTCCTTTCGTAAAGAAGTTGAGTTTTGCTAAATTATCCTCTTTTGTTTTACTGACTAGATTGTTTATCATTTTCTCTTTTCCAAATATTGTGACATTTCTCTTATTTGAGTTAAAACTCAAAATAGAGTCGATAGGAAGAGTTTAGCTTAAAATCACCCATACATTAGTTGTCGTCGTTGTTGTTTTTAACCTGCTGCACTAACAGTGGCAAAGGGATATTCTTTATATGTTGCCTTGTTTAATTAGACTTCTTTTCATTCCATCATTTTGGATGATGGATAAGATTTTTTAAAGCTTTCTATTTTCTGATTTTGTTGTCACATTTAGTACTACCTTTAATAGTTGTCTTGGTAAAATTCTCACTTGAATTTGGTAGTAATTGATAATTATACTGATTTTTAATATTTCTAGTAGGAATGAAATTTTATTAAAGTTTAAAAAAAGGTAGAAAAACCTACATCATTTAAGTTTTATCTAAGAAGATAGGTTATAAAGGGAGGTGCCTAAAACTACTGAGGTCATTTATGTCTGCTTTTTAATAAGGTATGGAATGGTTTAAACAAGTGTTTTGAAAAATGTCTACATATCTCTGACTTATTTACCATATAAGTTTTTCAAACGTAACTATTCAGAGGTTATTTTTCACATTTGCCTTCCAAAGGGGTATAATTCTTCCAAAAATCATCATAGAATAATCCTTCCCAACCTTAGGGAAAATATGTTAAACCATGAATAAAACCCATGGTTATTGAGCAGAACATACCTATTTTTTAAAAGTTGGTTAAAATTTTTAATACAAGTTCTTTGAGCCAAACTGAAAGTTGCGATTTCAGTATTTAAGAAGTCCTTGAACGTTTTTGGTGGTCTCTGGAATTTACTTTCTCATGTTGACCTTTTTTCATTCTTATTTTAAGGGTATTATGCTCTGACAACCTTCTCCCAAGAAGGGACTATTGCTGCTTACATCTGAGCTGCCTTTTACAGAAAAACCTGTGAAATAGGAATAGCTCATTCTCTCCTAAAGTTTACTGATATAGGGTGTTTTGTTTTTTGGTAAAACAGACCTAAATGAGGAATTTTGTTTGAATTAGGTATTATTTTTCCAGAGGGCATTTATATCTGCACCATTGTCTCATGACATATTGGTAGTTTTTAAAGACTATAAGGCAGTTGAGAGAATGAAGTATGTCAATAGATATCCTTTTGATTCTCCAAACAACTATAATATTGGGTTTTGTTCTTCCTAAAGATTTTGAAAAAAAATTTTTGGATATTCTGTTCCCTACAGTGGTGTTATTCCAGGACCTAAGAAACAGGAAGTTACAATTCTCTTTCATAGAGTCAAATCTGAAAGCAGTAATTTAGTGGTGGAGCTGCTTTATGTGAACAATTACACATGTATAGTTTAGCAAAATTGACACAGAAAAAGCCAGAAGTTCTTGTATAAAATTTTTTACTATTACGTCTTATGTAATTGTGTCTTCTCTTTAATTCAGTGCCTTCTTCCTCTAAGTGTGCTCTTACTTCATGCCCCCTGCAGCGTCAACTGATAATTTAAGCCAGAGACCATTATGTTATACTGGTGAGGGCCTTCTATTGCAGGTGTATGGAGCAGAGGATTAATCGGGCTGGAGGAGTGCATATGCTTCTATTCTGTGCTCATGCCAATATTTGAAACCCTTCATTTAAATTTTCTAATGTTCATTTGGAAAATTCATTTGAAGTAATAACAAGTATTACTTCAAAATAAAAATCTGAGGTTTTCCTGTTACTATGTATGCTTCTTAAATGTCTCTATAAAAAACAAAAGTTTTAAGTTTATATGCGTTAAGTTAAACTGGAAAAGTCTGCCACCCTCCTTTTCAAACTAGAAAATAATCAACTGTAGTGCCTATTTAAATAGTATCAAATTAAGGTAACTCTTAACTTGACCATAATATATAACATTCTCATTGTCATTTGAATTAAAAACTATTGAGCCTTTTTGCTCAAATTTAATGCATTGTGGGAAGATGGTATACCCTTTCAGACTTTATTAGTTTGTTTACTCTTTGTTTTGACAGGTCAAACATGATTGCTTTCTGTAAAAGAAATGCATGAGAGGTTGACGGTAATAGATGTATTACAGGTATAAAAATTGTTTTATAAAAATGTGCATTTGACATTGCATTTCTCTTTTAGCGGTTGAATCCCAAACCAGTTTTAGTAAACTGGGTTAAAGAAATGAAGGAATTGCCTTAAGCACTTTAGAAAAAAAATTTTTTTACAATTCATTTTGACTCTTTGGGCTTACTCTGTCACCTATGTGTTTAACTTTTGGTAAATATGTATATATGAAGCATTTAATAACTGAGTGCACATAGAAATTTAATATACAGTGATTCTTTGAATGTCCCAGGTATAGGTAAACAAATTGAAAGTATTAGAGGCGTGCCTGTCTGTACATGGGTTTTATTGATGGCATCTGTACCGTGTTGACAAACCGTTAACTGCCACTGTACAGCTAGACTTGGCCTACTTTGTTCTGCAAACAGTAACTTTTTCCTGTGTTACCATTTAAAGAAACATATTGGCTTAGTTTTATTTACTCACTTATTAAATTAAAGTATGAACAGTGTCATGTATAATTGGAATTTTTGGTGACCGATCCTTGGTGGTGCAAATAATAAAAGTAAATAATTTGTAATGCAATATTATAATTAGGCTCACATACTCCATTTCATGACTTACCCAGAATGATTATTTTTTCTCAATACTTGTAAAATTATAGTTATTTTGTTTCTTTTGAAAACATGAAAAAATTGACAAAGGATATATATATATATATATATATATATATATATATATATATAATATGATTTCAAAGAGTATTAATTCTGGAAGAGGACACTGTTGACTTCTTACTATAAAATATTATGATTCCAGGCTAAAAATACTAAGGACTATACTTTCAAATCATTGTAATTCTTTTAAAAACCCCATATTTATTAGATCAGTGTCCATTCATTGGCTAATTCATACAACAGATAAATTTAAGTGTCTGTGATACGGCAGCCGTACTTTGTATCTGGATTTCCACAATTAGTGAAGTTTGATTTACTGTACATATAGTTTTGCTACTTTTGAGTAATGTGACAAAGTTTGCATCTTAAAAACAATGTTTCTGCTAGTAAGTCACATTTTAAAAAATAAATTATTAGAGTTTATAAAAAATTCAAATTAACTGCATTAATATGGTTCAGTTTTACATAGTCACATAAAATGGATCTAGAACAGTTTCTTCTTTGATTATATTTTAAACTGGATATATTCTTTTAGGGAAGTGTATGGTCGGCATAAATTTACTGAACACCCAAGTAACCATAAAGTTATTTGCTATTTTTAAACAAAACATACATTTCATAATGTCAGTACTAGAACATTATAATAGATCATGAATATTTCCTTAATCATTACAGAACGATTACCTCATGTTCAGTATGGTTTTCAAAACCTTTTATGTGTATCTTACAGTATTCACATTATACAAATATTTGTGACCTGACATGCTTTGTTACCTGGAATATTTGATTAATGTAAATACTTAAGCTTTTGGAGTAATTTGGAGTTTAAATGGATTGCGTTTCCTATATGTTGTTTTTATTGAAAAGATATTGTTGGACTTGCCATATAAAGGTTAGTACTGGCTTATAAATAACAGAGATTGCCATAGTACTTTTCTCCTCAGACTATCCAATTATTAAATTAAAACAGTATTTGTTATTTCTGGGTCAATATAAGGTACTCACTTTTGATTCATAATCATTTGAGCTTTGTTAGTTTAAACTGATACATATTCTTAATGATACCCATTCACTCTAAGTTGGTCCTCGGGAATGGGCATTTAGAGGATTTCACAGTATGTAGGGCAGAAGGTGGGTGAATGTGTTTGCTTTGGCTTGGAGCTTTGTAAGTTTGGACCAGTTTTAAAATAAGTCACATTTTAAGTAATTGGTAAAAGGCATTTCTGTTAGTATTGGAAATTTTTTGAGAGCCTAAGGGCTATAAGAATGCATATATATATATATATATATTTTAACATTTTCAATATCTCTAAGGTACCAAAGCACGGAGTCTGATTTACCATTTAAGGGAGACTCTTTAAAATAAAATTTATAACTAATTCATACTATAAGATATATAACAATTAAAGTTTTGGAACAACTTACATTAAAAACCACTAGTCTTTAAGATTTCTGGATATAAAAAGTATTTTGGTTTCACTTCTTTTAAAGTAATTAAATTCAAAATTAATCGCTTTCTACCATATACTGAGTAGATCTATGACCTCAGCATAGTAAATCATTTCTCATCTTTGGGCCTCCACTGCCTTACATAAAATAATTATAACTTGTTCAGCTTACCTCCCAGGGCTGTTGCGAGAAATAAAATGAAATGGAGTATGTGAAGTTGCTTCAACAACAGTAAAATGCTATGTAAATGTAAGGCGTTATTTTCAGTGAATA